CCATCTTTATCCACTAAATTGTTGTCCGTTAGTCAGCTTACTGAACAATTGAATTGTTGTGTACGTATTTACCCAAGTTTTTGTTTGCTTCAGGATATTCACACTAAGGAGATTATTGGTCGTGGTACTAAGAGAGGGGAGCTATATTATGTCGATGACTTCAGTCCTGGCATGGCTAACAGTGTGACGCATCCCTTTGATAGCAAACAAAAGCAAATTTGGTTGTGGCACCGTCGATTGGGACATCCGTCTTTTAGTTATATGAAGCATCTTATACCAGATTTATTCTCAGGTTTCAAGGACTCCGACTTCACATGTGATACTTGTATTTTGGCTAAGAGTCACCGTGTGCCCTACCCGTTGAGTACGAACAAGTGTACTACTCCATTTACGTTAATTCACTCTGATGTCTGGGGACCTTCGCCAACAGACCAATCTCCTGAGAATATCCTTGAGGTAACTACTCCTACTAGACTTGTGCATTTAGAGGATAAAACTATTGGATATCAATTACCTTTTAGGCAAAATCGTGGGAAGCCACCAAACCGCTATTCACCTGATATTGGCAAGACATCCAAGTATCTAATTGCAAATTATGTATCTACTGAGAAGCTGTCTGAACCACTCAAGGCTTTTGTGCATCAGTTGTCTGCTATCCATATTCCAACCAAGGTCTCTGAAGCATTGAAAGATCCTAAGTGGGTCCAAGCTATAAAAGAGGAGATGAAAGCTCTTGAGAAAAATCAGACTTGGACATTGGAGACTATACCACGAGGAAAAAAGACTATCGGATGTAGATGGGTGTTTACTATAAAACACAATGCAGATGGATCTATCGAGCGATACAAGGCAAGACTTGTGGCAAAAGGGTACACACAGACCTATGGTATAGACTATGAAGAAACCTTTGCTCCAGTTGCAAAGTTAAACACCGTCAGAGTCTTATTGTCCCTTGCAGCTAATTTGGATTGGCCACTACACCAGTTTGATGTAAAGAATGCTTTTCTACATGGCGAACTCACGGAGGAGGTGTACATGGACATTCCTCCTGGTTATAATACTACTCAGACTGGAACAGTTTGCAGGCTACGAAAAGCATTGTATGGGTTGAAACAGTCACCACATGCATGGTTTGGACGGTTCACCATGGCAATGAAGAACAATGGTTTCAAACAGTGCAACTCAGATCATACTTTGTTCTTGAAACATCGGAAAGGGAAGGTAACAACATTAATAATTTATGTTGATGATATGATTATTACTGGGAATGATAAACAGGAAATATCACAGCTACAAGACTATCTGGCTACAGAGTTTGAGATGAAGGATCTAGGTGGACTCAAGTATTTCTTGGGAATTGAGGTGGCTCGATCGCAGCGAGGCATATTTCTCTCTCAAAGGAAATATGTCTTGCACTTGTTGACAGACACATGAATGCTAGATTGCAAACCTGCGGACACTCCTATTGTTCAGAATCATCATCTTGGAGAATATCCGAATCAAGTTCCAACTAACAAAGAAAGATACCAAAGGTTAGTGGGAAGATTGATCTATTTGTCATATACTCGACCAGACATTGCTTATGCAGTGAGCGTTGTCAGTCAATTTATGCACTCTCCAACTGAAAACCACATGAATGCAGTTCTTCGGATACTTAGATATTTGAAGTCTGCGCCTGGAAAAGGACTTATGTTCTCAAAGCATGGTCATCTAAATATTGATGGTTATTCAGATGCAGATTGGGCAGGTAATGTAACAGATAGAAAATCCACATCGGGTTACTTCACATTCGTGGGAGGTAATTTGGTGGCATGGAGGAGCAAGAAACAGAATGTAGTAGCTTTATCCAGTGCAGAAGCCGAGTTCAGAGGCATGACTAAAGGGATTTGTGAACTTCTTTGGTTAAGAAAGTTGCTTACTGAACTTGGGTATAAACCTACATCTATAATGAACCTTTTTTGTGACAACAAGGCTGCTATAGCCATTGCACAAAATCAAGTTCAGCATGATCGTACTAAACATGTTGAGGTGGATCGACACTTCATCAAACAGAAGCTTGAGGCTAAAGTGTTTCAATTTCCTTTTGTGAAATCCGAGGATCAATTGGCGGATATTTTGACAAAGGCGATTTCCAGTAAAGCATTCCACAATTCACTGGATCCGTTGGGCATTGGCGACATCTATGCACCAACTTAAGGGGGAGTGTTGGCGTGACTTGTGGATATTGACTTACTTTCCTTACACACCAAGGATTCCTATTTTATTTGTAATTGATTTACTTTAATTCCTGATTTCCTACTGTAAATAGATTTAGGAATTTATTATTTACTTGCCCATTCAGGTTTTGTTGTATTATAAATATGACCTCCTACAAGGAGAAGAATACATAGAAAATTCTCACAAACAAATATTCTCTCATAGTTTTCATATTTTAGCACTCTTCTCCAGCTGTCACAAGATGATGATATTAATAGCACTAATGACGAAGATGATGATAAGCCCATGTGGATTGAGTGGCTAGACTAGAAGCTGGAGGAGCGAAGCTGGGTTTTGTACATTGCGTTCGGGTCACAGGCTGAGCTGTCGGCTGAACAGCTCCAAGAAGTTGCAAAAGGGTTGGAGAATTCGAACGTCAACTTTTTGTGGGTTGTGAAGAAGAAGAGTGGCGCTACAGCGTCCGATGGGTTAACCAAATGAGTTTGAGGAGAGAGTGAAAGGGAGGGGAATGGTGGTCAAAGAGTGGGTTGACCAGAGGAGGATTCTAATGCATGGGAGCGTGCATGGTTTTTTAAGCCACTGAGGATGGAACTCAGTGCTGGAAAGCATTTGCGCCGGGGTGCCGATTCTGGCTTGGTCGATGATGGCCGAGCAGCCTCTGAATGCGAGGTTTGCGGTGGAGGAGATGAATGTGGGGCTGAGGGTGGAGACATGTGATGGTTCAGTCGTGAAAGGGTTTGTGAAGTCAGAGGGGTTGGAGAAGATGGTCAAAGAGTTGATGGAGGGAGACAAGGGCAAGAAGGTGAGGAAGAAGGTGAAGGAGTTTGCTGACTTGGCAAGCAAGGCTGTGAAGGAGGGTGGGTCCTCGTGGAGAAATTATAGAGTGGTACAGTATCACCACGTCAGCTAGTGATACTTCTACTCAAAATCTGCCATGTGTCTTTTTTGAAAAGAAAATTAAATTTTTTCACTGTTGGACTTTGTCTTCCAACTTTACCCTAAATAAAATAAAATAAAATTTAAAAAAACAGGAAAAAGAAAACAAGAAGGCTGTAGCAGTTTCCCCTGTCGTCAATCTGCCTACCTTGCACTGTCGCCCCTTGGCTGCAATCCCCCTCCAATAATATCAACATCAAACATACCCTTCTTTCACTAGTGGGTTGTCGTCATAGGAGATTTTGAAGATTTTTGTTTTATGTTTAATGGGTTTGCACTGATTTTCAAGATTTCTGGATTTTCTAAATACGTTTAACTTTTACTAACCATGGGAGGCACGGAAAGGACAAGTGGGTGGCGAGGGAGGAAGGAAGACAACTGGGTGGCGAGGGAGATGCAAAGGCGGCTAGGTCACGTCGATAGCACAAGGAAGACGGAGGAGAGGGGTTAGGGTAATTAATGTTGAAGGGTAAACTTGTAAGACAAAGTCCAGGTGTAAATTATTTTTAATTTTCTTTTCAAATATGACACATGGCAGATTTTGAGTGGGAGTATCACCAGCTTACGTGGTGATACCGTATCACTCTATAATTTCTAGTCGTGGTGGTGGACGTTGCAGTCGATTATTGATGAGACAATAAGCAACTAGGAAGAGAAATAAATGAGCAGTTGATGATGGGGCGTGTACGTTGCTTTAATTAATCAATATTTTATTTATTTACAAAAATAATAAAATCTTGGTAAGTTTGTATTTATGATTTTAAGTATTCACTAATGGTTTGGAACAATTACTTCCCTATATAAGGTCTTGGGTTCAAGTCCTAGCATCTGTGTAGTGTGTGAATTTAGTATATTATAGCCCCTGTTAATAGCAAGCATCCTAAAAAAAATTGATTTATCTACCATGGTTGTTTCACATTCTTATGGCATATATGAGAAAAGAATGTGGTATATCTTCACATTCTTAAGAAAGACAGAAAGAAGGCTTACAAAAAAGCCATATTATTTCTTTCTTTTATTTCGTTTTTTGAAAGGACAAGATAAATTTCGTATTATATATTTCGCTTAACGTTTCCCATTGAAAATCAGACAAGGTGGTGGTGATAGATGCTGTACGGGCGAGTCACGAGTGGCATGTTGGATAGGGTAAACGCCGAAAGTCAAGTGTATGGCTATGAATAAAACTGACCGTACTCATCATATTATCTTCCAGTGCATATAAAAACGAATATTTATCAGTTAAAAAGGCAAAAGACAGAAATGAAACCACAGATGACAGGTCTATGGTTTGATATTTGTTTTGTCGACTATTGGAATTGGCACTGTGTTTGTGTACCCAACGGCTGGTGTATTGGGTTGGGTTCATGCAAAAGCTCACATGGTGCAAGGAAGATATGTTTTGTATATTTTCTTTGGGCCTCAAGGAGATTATTTCAATTTCCACGACAGAAAGAAATAACAATGGGCTGGAGAAATCAAGGGTGAACTGCCTCTTTGTAGCCTTGTAGGTTAAAAGCAAGAATGAGTCAGAGCCACATATGGGGCATTGTAGGAGACTGAGCTCAGGAAAGGTGAGAGGGATGGAGGGGTAGCTGGGAAAGGAGGTGAGAAAGAAGGTTACCAGATGGTAGCGATGCCATATAGTTTTAGGTGGTTCGTCCCGACACAAGCTAGACTTCCACATTTATTGAGAGCTCATAAATTTCCAGTCAAGATAATGTATCCTGACTACTGATTCATATGTTAATTTCAGAAAACAGAAACAGGCCACATCCAAAAACAGGCAATGATAACTGAGAGATTATAGTCATATCTCTACAGGGGGTAGGGGATCAAGACCACATCAGTTATTAAAGTCATTCACACAACTGAAATTTTCTTTAACTAAGACCAGTAAATACCACAGTTATGAGTTTCAAGTGAAATGGGTTGGCCACCCACCAAATAACAGGCATGCTAGGTTTCTAGCACTACTGTCAACTAGAATCGATTGTACCAAATCACTATGATTATGAAGTTCAAAGGGACGGAAGACAACAATACATGAACCTAGCTCTTCTCAGCATTGTTCTCTAGTTCCTTCTTCAGCTGCAGAGAGAAGTCATCGTTGACATCATCATCATCCCAATCATCCTCCCATTGCTGTGCTGAATCTTTCCCCTCTTCCTTCTCATCCCACTCTGTCGGCATAAACAAAACAACGAAGTCAATAAAGAAAAAAGTATCAATTGAAGATGATGATTTATACTATTAATAACTTAGGGGTAAAATTTATTATGCATATCCTGTCACTTTTATCCATTTCAACATAATCTTTTTTTTCATAAACAGTTTAAAATGAAGAGGTAAAGCCCCAACACACGACATTTACTCCACCAAATACCAATCCTGTAATCATATGCAGGTACAACTAAAAGCATCGTCATACGACTTCTTCATATTGTACATTCCAAGTTCCAATGCTGTTTTTTCCCAAACCAGGCTGTTGCCAGTTCTCACAACCAAAGACAGAGATCCCATAAACTCCTAAAACAAAACGCAACATCCTATTCAACAGAAAGAACCAATGCCATGATGCCATTATCTCAACTAGAAACCTCCTTTGTATCATTGCAGGGCATTGGTGCTCTGATGCCAAAATCAATTTTCGGCTTGGATGATTCATATTACAATCAAGATCATTATCTTAGTAGACCATAACAGATGGAGTATACACTGGGATATATGAATACATGCTCCTTAGAACAAATATCTGTTTATCAAATGGATTAAATTTAATCTAGAAACAGCTCGAGTAAACTAGTGGGAATGACTTTTTGTTAATTAAAAATAACCAGGAGGCCAAGTGAAACAAAACCCACTTCAGATTATCTACTATATGAATGAACATGCTCATGAAAAAGTAATTTGGTTCACAAAAAATCCTATTAAGTTCAATCGGAAACAAACAAATATAGAGGCACTGCTACAGACTAACTAATAAATATGAATATAATTATGATAATTAACAAGAACAGACCGGGGCTCCAAATTACCTTCGTTGATGTTGAATTCTTCGAACTCGTCGTCGTCTTCAAACAAATCAATCTTCGGGTCTTCGGATGCTACCTTCTGATCCTTCTCCATTTGGCAAAGCTAACCACCCTGCAATCAATGAAACAATTACCGCGCTCAGATTCAGAACCAATTAAAAGAGACTACTGACGGCATCAAAATATGATACTTGAATTAGATTATCCCAAACCCTAATCGTATTCAGCGTTCTCTATCAGAAGCTACCTAACATGCGATACGAGAGCGAGCGAAAGAGAGACTTACTAGTGTTACTACTCAAGATTCAAGGGTCAAGACAACGAAGGGCGATCCAGTGGTTTCTTCTTCCTCTAACCTCAAGGGACTGGTTATGTGCTCGTGTCGTGTTTTTGGTATTTGGAGGTTCCTCTATTCTTTTCTCATCCCATAAAGAAAATTCTGAAGACAATTACTTAAAAACTTTTTCTGTAAATAAAATATTTCAACCATATAGCCGCCGGCCATATTCCATAAATAGAATTTTTCAATCGTTTCGCCGCATAGCCGCGCGGCTATACTTTATAAATAGAATTTTTAAATGTAGCTATACTCTGTAAATAGAATTTTCCAACAGTATAGCCGCCCGGCTGTAAATATATTTTTAGACAGTATAGCCTATCGGCTAGAATATTTCAAGAGTACAGCCGCGCGGCTATACGCTATAAATACAACTCTCATTTGCCCGCTTTTTTTTTTCATTACTTTTGTTTTTTGGCCTACTTCTTCAATTAAATATATGAAATTGAGCAATATCTTAGCCTTTTTGAGTTACTTTAATTAGTAATTATATTTTAATTATTATTTAATATCAAACAAATTTTTTTTAAAAGTCCACAAAATAATTAATTTATATTTATTAAGTCTTTTGTGAAATCGTTTGGGTGTCTTAATTAAATTTCTCCATAGCCCAAGAGTCCTATCCGTTACTATTAGGCTATTGCTCAAGTATCTATTGTCCTTTTTTGATTTTTTTACTTTTCCCAAGTTATTTCCCGTATAAAGATTTTAGTACTTTCGAGTTTAATAATGTATTATACACGTATGCATGTATTTCTCATGTTTAATACACTTTTTTTTACAAAAATTTCAATAAGACACAAAATTTACATATTATACACATAATTCTCACATATTATTGAATAAAAATAATATATATTTAAAAAAATATTAGTTTTTCCCTAATTATTTTTTTAAAATAGTATCGCTGTGCAGCTATAATCGTTTTTCTTTTTTCTTTTTGAAAAAATTGTACAGCCGCAAGGCTGTACTAGTTTGACACGTGGCGCATAGGCACTGGGCGGGGGTATATATAAGGCGTATAGTTGACCGGCTATACTAGATTCTCTTTTAATTTTCTTTAATAAATAGTATAGCCACCCGGCTTTACGCTTTTGAGACGTGACACCTATGGGATGGGAGCGTCCTTTTTTAATATATAAATAGTATAGCCATTCGGCTATACTATTTTAAAAGAAAATTTAATATGGGAAATTTCGCCGGCATAGACCTGTGCCAACGAACGTAAAAAAATTCAGTTTTTTTTTTAATTTTAAAATATAAAAAATTCAGTTTCTTTACTTTTGTTGTTTTGTCCTACTTCTTTAATTAAATATAGGTAATTGAGCAATATCTTAGCCTTTTTGAATTACTTTAATTTGTAATTATATTTTAATTATTATTTAATATAAAACAAATTAAAGAAAAAGTCCACAAAATAATTAATTTATATTTATTAAGTATATATAGAGTATAGCCCCGTGGCTATACGTTTGAAATATTCTATTCTTGAAAGATATTTCCACATTGCACCAACAATAAAAATATGGATTTATATTTGCTTGATTAGACCTCTCCCGATGAAATTTTGTCGGAAGATATTTCTTTTAAAAATAAATATAAACTTATTATCCTTAGGTCAATAGATTTTTTTAACAACTTTATTTTTATTAATTAAATCATATCTTAGCCTCATTTAATTACTTTAATAGTAATTATGTTTTAATTATTATATTTTAGTGAATAATTAGTATTCAAAATTTTAATTAACTTCACAAGTTATATTACTTAATAAATAGTTTTAAATTTTTTTAATTTTTTTTCTTTAATAAAATATTTAAATACTAATTATTCACTAAGTAAATAATAATTAAAATATAACTACTAATTAAACTAATTAAAAAAAGAGGAATTGCGATTAACGGTATAGCCGCTCACTAAGGCCAATACTGTTAAAATATTTTATTTATGACTATTTATGACGTACAGCCACACGGCTATATGCTGCTATACTATTCAAAATACGTTATTTATGCTATTCCATTTACAGAATATTCTATTTAAAGTAATTAAATCTTCAAACCATCTAGAATAAGGATTGTTACAAAAATGAAAAAATAATAAATGTATATTTTTTAAATACAAATGATAGTCTAAATTACTTTCACTAAAACACCCAAAATGGGAGTTGAAATTATAAAAAAACCCAACACCCAAAACCCATCATTACACACACTCAAAACTCATTTATAAACACACCCAAAAAATATACAATTATTGACTTTGGGGTTGATTTTGGGTGTTTCTATGTTTAAATAGTGTTTGGGTTTTTTTTATAAATACATGTCTAGTATTGGGTTTATTTATAAATTTGTATTAATTTAATCTATAGGAATGAGAATTTGAACTTGGATGCAAGGGGTTTGGCTCACTCCTTGAGTTAACTCGGATCAATTGGCATAACTCACATCATATCAATAGAAAAACTTAGATTTTGGTGACGTCAAGAATATGAAGTCACACCAATAGCAAAAATAGGCAAACATTTTTCTTGACAACCAAACACACATAACGAGACATCTTGAGTAATACTAATAGTTAGTAATTATTTGTTTCTTTATTATTATTATTTTTTCCATTGGCTAATTAAGGATCATGAGCCTAAATTTTATGTTTTTCATTTTTTCCCCACCAAAGGGCTTTTTTTTATTTTTTTGTTGAGAAATTCTAGGATTGCATTCATAATTCAGCCAAAAAAGCCATTAGCCACAATGGGCCAAAACAAACTAGCCACAAAGGGCAATTACAATAACGGAGCGGTCGAACAACAAAATTAAGACAATCTGGTGCGCCTCTACTAACGATTACACAGGATCGAATAAACTCTAGCATAGACATCCCAACTAAGATTGCAAACTCAAAATAATCAAAAATAGACAAAGCTTGAAAAAACCAAGCCATAACAATACAAATAAAACTCTCACAAAGGAGAGATAAAAAGCTCTCACAAAGGAGAGGTGAAAAGCTCTCACAAAAGGAGACATGAAAACTCACAGAGAACCTACAGAGTCTTTGTGACTTATTCCAAACATAAAGAAACCGCAAAAAAGATGGTGGTAGAGATCTGACGTCAAAACGCAGGTAGAGATCCAACGCTGAGACGCAATCGCCTATGATTGTTGGAGGAAAATCAGAACAAATCACAATCGCCTATGAGAGAAAACCATTTGTCTCTGGAGAAGATAGGGAGGAAGAGAAAGAGGGGAGAGGAGAGGAAGAATAAGGGCCTCCTCCCCCCTCAAAGTGAAAACGGCTCTAGGAGGGTTTTTTGGGAGCCCACCAAAGGGCTTTCACGAGGTCTTAGGTTGAATAATCCCCTCCTCAATATCGATTGTATAGAAAATAAAAAATTACAAAGTTGAGGTTAAAGAATGTGTGCCTGCTACAGAATGGCAATAGGATTTGGCTTGATAAAAGACAAGGAAAAGACTGTTGGAAAGATAATGCTGCTGAGTCAGTCTAGTCTGCCTTGTATGCTCGAGTACACACACAGCGCCAAAACATAGAATGAATAAACAGCGACGTTTTCTCTTGTTGTTATAAACTACCCGCCATTTCTCACATTTGATTGAGTTTTTTTTTGCTTGCATTGGATTTGGCCGGCAGCAATATTTTCTAATAAGGGAAATGGATGGGCAGAAGATAATTTACATATTAATTAATATTTTAATGAATTTGGACGAAGTATCCAAGCCCTTTTAACCACATTAAACACAAGGTGGGATTTATCAGCCTCCCTTGAAACTGTTCAAACAAGGAGGAATTGTTACAGAAGAAGTTGTCTGCTCAAGTTTCTGTTTTGATCAATTTCAGTGACACATTTTGAGTCCATAATTCAATCCAAATGTGCTGCAAACTAATCCTGCCTCGGTCAATTATTCTCAAATTCTACAGATTGAGTCTACCTCCAAGAGACTACTTGGTTTTTGATGTGTTTTTGTTCTCCACATAAGGAGTACTGTATAATACCATGGATGAGAGCAAGCTTTTAAACCAAAATGTTATCGTCTTCATCCTCATCACCACCATCTGCTATGCAGCTTCTCAGCCTTCTGCGTCTGATTGCAGCCTTCATTTTGACTTTCCTTCTCCAAATTCAACTTGTGAAGAGGGAGACTGGGGAGGGTTTCTGCGCAAGAACTGCTGCGCTTCAGCGTTCAACGGCTACCTCTATGCGCTGGGGCAGAGGGCAAATCAAACCGGACAAATATATCTCAACTCTGCCGAGCAGGGGAGTTGCTTGGCTTCGATGAAGGATTTGCAGAAGAATGTTTTTGGCTGTGGGATTGAGAAGCTAACAAGTGGTGCCGGGGGCTGTTCTGACTTCTCTGTTGCTGATGTTACTAATAGGTTGGGTGACAGGTTGAAAAGTCTTGAGGGGAACTGTAAGTTTCAGAGTTCTGATGATGGAAAAAATGAGCAGTTGTGTGGTTCCTGTGTGAAGAGTTGGGAAGACATAGGAGCATTGCCTTCCACATCCTCCGATCCACAATCTATTGAGGTTGAGACCAATGTTTGCAGGTTTGCAGTCCTGGTGTCACATACAAGCATTAATCTTGAAAATAAAGCGCATCTCCTTGCAGTTTATACCTGCCTTGGGTCACAAAAGTTCTTCACCAGTATGTTGCCTCGTGAAACTTCTTACAATCTGTGTGTGTGTGTGTGTTGATTTGTTAAATGTTACAAGTTCTCAACACTATATCTGCTGATCAAGTTTGTCTGTAAACCATCTCTTTCTCCTTGGCAGATAATAATCAACCACCACCAAAGGGAAATAGGAAAATAAGTACAGGTAAGGCTTCTTCCATCACTGAATTATCACTTGCATTTGCAGAGCTGAAAATATATACTGAATTGGTTGCTTTTGCTATCTATTATGGTATTCAATGGAGCTAGGTTTATGGATTGTGATTGGAGGCGGCATCGTAGGTGTCTTCGTTTTAGTAGTACTAGCTGTATGCATTGTATCAAAGAAACGTATCCAATCAAGTCCACCACCAAAAAAAGACGGTATGCCCAACAATAATATTCCATAGCTGTATCAACACCAAATCTAAGTTACACCTTGCATATGGTGCATACTAATTAAGCCTGACTTGTATGTAAACAGCAGCATTTAAGGATGATCCTTTTGAAGAGTCAGGCTGTCCAAAAATTTCTATCAAGGAAGTGTATTTAGCTTCAAACAATCTAAGCCAATCAAATTTCATTGGTGAAGGAACTGCTGGTGAGCATTTAAATAAAACATAGAGCAAAATGGATCTCATTTTCTTCTCAAGAAAGCATATATCAAAATTTGAATTCTGCATTCTGCAGCACCAGTTTACTTATTATATAATCTGATGATTGGTTGGGTTTTTAATTTTCTGGTTTTTATATTTTGTTCTCAATATAACAGGGAAGGTGTATAAAGGAATACTGTCAACTAATCAGCATGTAGCAATTAAGCACATCATCAATGATGGAAATGTGGAGACATTTGCCAGAGAAGTTACAAGCTTATCACACATCAGACATCCCAACCTCGTTACTTTGCTTGGTTATTGCGTAAACGAAGATGAGTGTTTCCTTGTCTACGAGCTTTGTCCCAATGGAAACCTCTCAGAATGGCTTTTTGGTATGTATATATATTCCCCTGCCTTAACATGAAGTTTTAGCTTTTTGAACTATAGGTTTGTGCAGGCTAACCAATTTAAATAAAATGGTAAACAACAGGGAAAGATAGGAACCTGCCCTGGATCCAGAGGCTTGAGATTGCAATTGATAGTGCTCGAGGTCTATCATTTCTCCACACATATCCAGAAGGCTGCATTGTCCATCGCGATATCAAGGTCTGAGGCTCTGAGCTCCCTACTTCCTTGTACCTTTATATACCTGGCTGATATATTGTCACCTAAATGAATGAGAAAGTTGGACACTACATTTTCTGAGATTTTTTTTTCTCCCCTGGCAGCCAACAAACATTCTTCTTGGGAAGAATTTTGAAGCCAAGCTATCAGACTTCGGACTCTCTAAGATCATTGAACTGGGTGAAACCTATGTGAGTTCCGAAGTGAGAGGAACTTTCGGTTACGTTGATCCTAACTATCGGAGCAACAACCATGTAAATTCAACAGGAGATGTCTACAGCTTTGGAATCGTACTTCTACAAATCCTATCGGGGAAGAAGGTTGTCAACATGAATCTGAACACACCAATGCCATTAAGTAAAATGGTCAGAAACCATTTCCTCCCATAATCTTTTTTCTATATTCAAATTGAGTGTGTTCTCCATGTTACTGATAATCAATGTTTCTACTTGTTAGGCTAAAGGCCTCAACAGAAGTGGCGGCATCAATGATTTTGCTGATCCTAAACTTGAAGGAGAATACTCAGCGGAAGCTTTTGATCTCACACTTCAGTTGGCTCTGTCATGCACAGCACTTAAACAACAAAGACCTTCCATGGAGCAAATTGTTGCAACATTGCAAGAGGCCCATGACATGTCAACAGAGGCAAAGGCCTCCACTCCTGAAGTTTCAACAGATACTAGCATTCAGTATTGAAAGTTTAAAACCACGAAACAGAATCAGAAACTATTAATTACTTTAATTCTAATGAGAATATTTTGTTTTCTTAGATATATTTGGGTTTGTATTGTAACACCACATCAATGCCATTAGCTAATACTTCAGAATACAAATGCATTTGTGAACGTAACTTTAAGTTCATGTTCGTGTATGGATCTGTGCTAGAGTTCTAAACCAGCATTCTAAACTCAAGGATTGTTGAAACTAAAATGATACTAGCATCCTTAATTAGAACTATTTCAATACCGGCTTGTGCCGTGCTTTAGACCGACCCGTATGGATTTTTGTGTGGCTTAATGACAATTTATAGAAACTTAATCTTAGTTACTAAATGCAAATACTTCTTGTTAGAAGCTAAGGAGCCTAATGTATTCCATGTAGCTAGGTCAGTCTACTGTACTGCTTTCCGACTGCATCTGCTCCTTTAGTACACTTATATTTAATCTATTACAGGTCACGGTACCTAATATTTGAGAGCGAATGATTCAACACTATAGAATTGGAAAATTGATGGTCACTGCTAATCTACCTGATGTATAATTTACATCCATGTCACAAAACTTTGTTCCTAACTATTCTTTCGTTAGTTCATTTTCCTGTTCCCTGATTACAAATCTTGAACTAACTAACTGTTCTCTCATTCTACAGAGAAATCAGGTTCATCTGGCTTAAACAAACGAGGCATCCCCAAACTGGTAGAAGCAGCCTCAACCGCCTGAGCTTTCTGGGCAATCCCTCTTTTCGTATTTGCAGCAAATTTGGAAGCCAGAAATGTGACCCCAATATGCGAGCCGGTATTGCTTGTACTCTCCCCTGATCTCCCACCATTCTCATTATTCTCATAATTTCCATCTGCTTGTTCTTCATCATAGTAGTAGTAACCCTCTTCCTCTTGGCCTGGGATTTGCATATAGTAGAAGCTCTCCTGCATAGCCAAGTCCCTTGCCATCTTTCTCTTCTTAAACCTTCTCCAAGCGGCTTGTATGAAGCAAGCACCCCATGTCCTCCATTGGTGGGAATAGTACCTAAACGCATGCTGTAGTTTCTTGCTGTGAAGGCGCTTGAACTGACCTGCAACGAATTTAAGGTCCTCGGCTCGAAGTGCAAAAGCTTCAACTTCGGTTAAGGCTCTCACAGTCCGAGTGGAAGAAGGCAGATTAAGGCTAGAGCTTGGCATCAAGGCCCATGTCAAGAGTTCCTCACCGCAGAAGTCACCCGGTCCAAGAGCGATGGAGTTAAAGAACCCGGACCTCCCTCCATTGGTTGTGGAGCTCTCAAGTTTCCCTCTAATGATAAACAACATCTCAGTTACTGGGTCACCCTCTTGAACTATATGTGTGCCTTGGATACTCAAGGATGAGACAAGACGTTCACATATGGCATCAAGAAGCTGGTCGTCCATTTGTGAAAAAAAAGGGACCTGCACAATGACAGAACAAGATTTATCAGAGTAGGATTCCTCCGTTGGCAAACATTCAACTGCTTTCATTGCATACATGATCCACTGATTGCTCTAGAAATATATCCCGTTATGCAGTAAAAATACTATTTTTCATATGTGTTGTATTAATCATCAGCTTTTCTATGCTGTAAATAGAGAAATCTGGAGTTGTAAATCGAATGGAATAGTGGAAATAAACGATAGGTCCACCAATTTTGGACGCAGCTAAACTTCCAGATAGGACTGAAAAGCCAGAAGAAATGAACTTTTTGCATAAGGGTGGGTCCTGTAACCAGATACAGGGTTGAAGCATCACCAGAAATAACAACACAAGTAGGAAGATACACTTACACGACGAACAAGGTTAAGGCATAAGTGTCGCTGGATTTCATGGCAGAGGTCTAAAGGCAATGAGCGCAATATGGATTCTTCATCAACTCCTCGTGTGGCAAACCATTTGTATTGCATAAATCGGCGTACACGTTCTCGCAAATCCTCAGGTAATTGGCGATGCCTCATCCACTCCTCAGTATCTGTCTGCTTAATCCTCCATTCTTCGAATTTTATTGACATCGATTGCAGATAAGTCTTCAACAAGGGGAAAGAAAATATTATTAAACAGCACCAGTATTTGCATGTATTACTCATGAAAACTTGCAGGTGAGTAGTATACAAAATGTTACAAGTCGGAGATTGGAAGAACATGAATCCCCATTGGAGGCGCTATTCTTACAAAACGAGTTCTACTAGGAAAAATAAAATCCATACCGCAACCCTGACACAATCAGCTAAGTGTAAAGCAATCTGAATGGATTTATATTAATCTAGATGATCTTTACAGTTCTCTCAGTGAACTGCATGGTCAACTACCGGCTAATATGCATGGTGACTGTAATAGCTCTAGTTTATGACTGATTTGTTTTGCAGGGGACTTCTGGCTTTAGGTGGCATGAATTTCTTCTTCTAAGCATTTTGTAGTTTTACAAATTAGATGATGGCTCTACATTTATGGTTTCTTCCATATGTAAAAACCAAACAGGTGAAGTATATGCCAAGTACATTATGCTGTTTAAATGTTTGTAACGCCACACATTACCCTGTTAGCGACATGAAAATCAATAATAACATAACGAGTAGTGGTATCCAAAAATTACTCTCATGTAATACCTGCATGTTTCCAATCAATAGTGAGAAAAGAATTAAACCAGTAAGACAGAGAACAATGGAAAACATTATTTCCCAAAGATATGTGCTCGTCTTCAAAGTCTGCCCGTATGAACTACAGAGAGAAACAAATGATCAGCATTAACAGCAATAAGAATGCTACATTGTAAAAGTGAAAGTAAATGCAGCAGCTTACACACCTACACAGAAGGCTAATTAGAATCATACCTTAAGTTTCTTAAACCCCACCAAAAACAATACAAGTACTTCTCAAAGAAGCGCGAGTTCGCCACCTCATTCTTGAAAGCATCCCCAAAGATTCCAAACTTAAATTTGATATTTTTCTCATTCTCTGCATCACAATTCGAAACAACTTTGGTGACGTTGAGCCAATATTTCCGTTCTGGTAGCTCCTTGCTATTACAATCCAGAAAACTAGTAAGGCAAGACACAATCATGGACTCGCTCTCCCTTCTACACTCCTGTCTCCAACAAGAGAACTGCCGCCCTATGGACGATAGATACCACACAGCTCCAACTATCTGGACCATTATCACCAACCATGTAATAGATTTAGCAAATTAATTAAATTTTCTTAGGACAATATTTACATGAGTGCTTTGCTTGGAAATGGTTGATTGCTTACATGACTGGCTAGCATGAAAAGAAGGAGATTGTATGCAGCTCCTGCCCACGCAGTCTTCGCCACAACGCCGGTGGTCTTGATGATGCGCTGATTCAGAGGAAAGATGAGGAAGATTCGAGGAACATACTGAGTCAGAACGAACAGAGCCAGAGTGCTGTTGGCATGATCAGCTCTCGAATTCCTGGTGGCCGGAATCACTAACCAGATAACAATCTGCGCAAAATTCAAACCAAATCCTCAATTTCCACCTTGAAAATACTCAACTCCAAATTAACATCAATTAATCAATTAATTGCAAATGCCATGCCTGCGGGACTGGAATGGTGGCAGCAAGATCGACGACGAAGTCGGATTTCAAGTAGCGGATGGCAATCTGGCGGGGGTCCATGACGAGCTCGCCGCGGCCGAAAACCCTAGAACTGGGATTGACGTAGGCGGTACGGAATTTGATGATCATGTGGAGGAGGTAGAAGAGATCGGTGAAGGTGCGGAAGCAGGTGACGACGACGGCGAGTTCGTTGTTGGAGGACAAGCAAGCGGGGCCGTCGACGTTGGGAAGGTAGAAGTAGAGAGGGTCGATGAAGAGGGCGAAGATGCAAATGACGAGGAAGACGTGGTTCCAGTGGGCTACGATGTCGCTGTCCGGGTCGAGGACTTGGTGGTTCCATAGGATTTGGAGCGGGTGCTCTTCCACTGGGATGGCTACGCCGGAGCTGTCGGCGTTGTTAGGGTTGCTGTTGGGGTGGAGGGGGCGGAATTTAGAGGCCGGCGTGGCGATTATTCTATTCATCTTCCATGGCGGACTCCGGGGTTAACTCGGACTCCGCGGTATAGAACTCGTCGTACTGGTCCACGCCCGCACACGCACACCCAATCTCGAAGGTTACGGTGGATTAGGAAATCAAGAGAATGAATTTCTAGTGTCAATTATGTTATAAATGATTGGGGATACAAAGTTTCATGACCTTCAATTGAAAAGGAAGAAGTTATTGATTAATCAAAGAAAGAGAGACAGCGACACAGAAATCCGTACAATGTCATTTGGGGCGGAGGGTGGGGGGGTGAGAGTGAGAGAGAAAGGCCGCGAATTGGTTCGCTAATTTTGACCGTTGAGATTTTCGCGGGAAACCGGAGAATACGCGTAGACTTCGGTTAACATTACGTCCGCTGTTCCATTCAAATTCAACTCGAATTTTAGCTTACTGTAATTTCTGCTCTCGCTTTCAGGTCCTCGGAAATGGGCTCTTGTTATTCGGGCCGTGATATACAGATTGCGAAATGTCAAAGCCCATGTTAATTGAGTCCGGCTCTTTATGGGCTCTGTGATTTGGGCCGTGATATAGTCTAAACTACTGTGCATGTTACTTACATAGAAGAATTAACGAATTGAAATTGAATCAACTACTCTCCGTAGTTCATCCCATTCCCGATTTTGAGGGTATTGGTTCTTAGTAAACACATGAGAAACATTAATTAAAATGATTCAAATATGCTATAAATTACTCTAATCTACAGAGAGGGAAATTCGAACTTAAGTGCAAAAGACATCGTCATTACCGTGATTAATTAGTCCAACCAACTTTTGTAGAAAAATAAAAATGAAATTAGGAATGAGGGTGTTGATCAAATTTGTGGATGCATCCCCTTTAAAAGGCCCCAATGATGATTTTTCTTCACACCAATCATGAATTACTTGTGAAATTGGGCACACATGCGAACCTCATTGCCTAAACTGGGTTTCATGGAATGGAAGTTGGGTCCCTTTCCGTAGAAGAGAGAGAGAGACAGAAAAAGAGACGTACAGCTTTGTTTTCTGG